ATTCTTTAGCAGTGGGCCTGAAAATGCTAAACCAGTTGGTGGCACCATTTCAGTAACAGCAGACATGTTAGCACCCTCAAGTTGCCCTGCAATTTGGAGCAATTGCAATTTGATTGGGGAGGTGGTTAAACTCCGCCTGAGTCCTAGAAAGTTGGCACAGCGGGAGTATGCTGAACATGTTCATGTGCAGGTTCACTGTGACAACCAAATTTTTGGTTTGGCCACTGCTCAAAGCAGAGTGAAGGAGAAAATTAAAGAATTTGACTCTTCAGCTCAGTAAGAAAAGCATTTTCTGTAGGGAGGGGGGCAACAGTCTGTTCCGGATTTTGCTCACGGTGGATCTTTAAAATGCAAGAGGCATTTATATTTTTGGCATGCAGACCACGAACCTTCCCCGGAGCAAGGGTCAAGATTGAGGACTCTTCACATGTGTCAGAATTTCCTCCTCCTCAGGAATGTCGTTCATCCTGCTTTCCTCAGCAAGAAATGAAAAATTCTGGTCCTTTGATATCACCCGCTATCTTGCAGTAAATCAATCCCAGCCAAGGGAATTGCATTTTTACTGCATTCCAGCCTAGGGCAGTTTGTTTTGGGAGCAAGTAGCTTCTTCCTGGCGCTGGTGTTTCCTGGTGCACCATCACCTCCAGGCTGAGCGGTTCCTGTGGGACCATTCACTCACTCTGGCAGTGACAGTTTCAGGGGTTGTGCACTGAGTTTCTAGTCCACAGAGAACATGGTATAGCTGGGGATGTCTCTGTACTCCTACGGAAGACATCACTTTTTTTTTTTTTTCTTTTTTTTTTTTCCTTCAACAGGCATTGCTATTTTACATTTTTAGAGTATTTGCTTTTAATGGGGAGTGGGAGCATATTTTCCCCTGGCTAATTAAAACACTTGGAGTTGGCATTTTTATTTCTACTCCTGCCAGGGCTCTGTTTGCAAAGGTTTGCTATCTCCCTCGGTTTTAGTTACTTATCTGCCAAATACAGGGCTAGCTCTTTCCCCCTTCACAGGGTATGGTGGAACTGAATTCACGGCTGTTTATGGGATGCTTGGCTACTTCACTAATGAGCAGTGCAGACAAGCCAGCAGAAAAATATGGTTTCAGTGAAATATACCCAGAGTCTGATGTGTACCAGCACTGTTTTATCACATCAGCATTCAAAGCTGTTGATTAATGAGACTTTGGGAGTCCATCATGGGAATAATTTGTTCCTAAAAGCTGCACAGAACTAGAAAGCCTCCCCAGTCAGATGGTGATGCCACACAGTAATGGGGATGCCTTTTTGCACAGATCCTCTTCAGTACTTTACTTGGCTTGGGTTCCTTACTCTTACTCGAGCTCTCTAGAAGGGTAGGGAGAAATTGTATACATCTATGAGTTTTAGAAGATATGTAGAACTGGACAATCAGGCACTGAGAACCCCTTTTTGTTTGTTTCCTGTACCATACTTTCATCATCCTTCTTAACGTCCTTATCGGGTCTAGATAGTCTGAAGGTGGAAACCTGCTGAAAGCACTGGTTTCAAACACAGTAAACGCTAAGATTAAAGCTGCACCTGAAAATATATCTGAAACTATTTTTTAAACATAGCTGATAATAGTCCTCCCCCAATACGAGCTGAGCTGGTAGCCACACTGTAATTAAACAGGCTAACTTGTCCTGTTACACCGTATTTAAAGCTATTTCCATTAGCAGTTACATAGTCCAGGTGGCAGATGAATTAGTACGGTCTTTTCCAGTAGTGAAAGCAGCTATAACAGCAAGATAAGCTAAAGGTTTTTCTGTGTGTTTCTATCTGTCTGGTTGGCTTTAAGGGGATTTTCTTTGACTTTTGTCCAAATATTGCTGCTACCTTACAAAAAAAAAAAAAAAAAAGCTAAAACATGAGAATACAAATTCAATAATAATATCATCATGGCAGTAAAAAAGTAATGCCATATTAATTTTGCAATGCAAAGTCAATACATTAAAAGCAGATGTGCTAATCCATCACGGTGGTGAATCTGCCACAATTCAATAGCACCACTGAGTTTGAGGAAGTTACAGTAGGGACTGGTTTGATCTAACACCTTTAAATAATAGATCTTCTTTTGATCGTGATTTTCTTCTACTTTGCAAGAAAAAAAAAAGTCATCTGGAATCTGGAAACTTCTGAAGAACGGGGAACCACTACTATTCTCTGAAAAATTAAGAGCAGAAGAAAACTACAGAAGTTATCCAAGCAAATCCCAGATGTATTTACGGATCATGTCAGTTCTTATGACTGGAGAAATTTTGACTGGTTTTCCAAAGATTTATCCGGTCTGCTATGAACCAAATAATGTTTGGAGAATTACATTGTGCAGTTGAGATTTTGTTTCTTGGGAACGATGTTTTATTGGTTCCATTTGAACATACTGTAGTGTGCAAATGATCACAGGTTTGGCAAGTTCTTTGCAAGGCTTTGTATTTATAAGCCCAGAAACAGATGTACAGATAATTTCAGAGACATGCATACTTTATATGGTTGTAGACAAATACTGTGGGGATGGGTGCTTTAGAAAAAAAACAGATCTGTGAATATCCTGGACATCTTTCTTCCAGCCTCTCTTGTTATGCTGGAAACCAGCAGAATTCAGTAAGAATCACTAAAGTATACAGATCTGCACTGATTTCCAGTGATATTTATTTGACTAGAGATTCTTTGATCCCTGTGTAAAAATGTAAATTTTGTGCTAACGGACTTGTTGTGAATGAGAACTGGCTCTTCAGCAGTGAGGTGACAGTCTCAGGTTGCCAGGGGCTGGGAAATTGCTGGGGAGGTTGTGCAAAGTGCTGGTAACTGACAGCTTAATCACATCAGTTGCTTCAGACACACACGGGCAACAAATGGGAAAGGAAGGATGAAGGCTGTGTAAACAATAACAGTGTTATCTCATGTCAAGACCTTTCAGGATTCAAAGGATGGACACCCTATGCAAGAAATCTGTGCTTTGCCAGGTGTAGTGTGCAAAGCAAAGGCCAAAAGCTGTACCAAATATTCTCCTGTGGAGCTATTGCTTGAAGCTTTCAAAGATCTGTGCAGGGCCATTCCCTGGTCTGGTGTCTTCTTTGTGGGCCATCCCTCCACTCTTTGCACATGTAGCATGACTGGCAGCATGCCACATTTGGCTTCCAGCCTGCAGCTGAGCCCTGCAACCTGCCCACACTGATGCTCACCAGAATTTGGCTCTCATTCAAGCTCCCCAGCTCCAGTAAAGCCTTCTGTCTTTTCCTGCTTTGGGTGGAGGTTAGAGTTATGCAAAGAGGGAGCCAAAAGTATTTAAGGCTGTTCCTTCTCTCCAGGGAGAGTGTACAAAGAAAGGCATTTCCACAAGATCTTAACCTCAATTATAGTCAACATGATTACGAAGTGGGAGACTTTCTGCATTTACTTATGCGGTCTCTCAGCAGGCAACAATTTACAGGTGAGGTTACAGACAGCACAGTGGTAGGCTGAGGGGCAACATATCAATTCTTGCACGATTGCTTCTATTTGCATAAAGAAAATCACTGCTAAATTTAATAAATTAATGCACAATGTTAGTAAATAGCCACATATTGTCAAACTACAAGCAAAGGAAAAAAGAGTGCATGTACATACATCAGGCAGAATCTGTTCTCAGTCATGCTCGTGGAAGATGTGTTTTGATGTACTTTATTGGGGCTTTAGTGCCTGACAGGAAGTTGTGTGAGTGGATTAAGAGGAGATAACAAGAACTAAAATATGAAATATATAATTAGTTGTAACACTAAGAGAATTTTTTAGAAGCAGTGTGTCTCAAGGGTAGAGTTTGTAATCCTTATTCTTATGCTTGTCATGTAAAAATAAGCCTGTCCTTACCATTACAGCTGCCATGATCTTATGGTCCAAATTGCACCAGTTAGTGAGAAAAAACACACGACATGGAACAATGGATAAACAAGTCTCTTTTACTGATGCCAGAATTATTGAATTAATGGCTGAACTTGGAATTTATCTGATGGAGCTCATCCATTTAGGATGAATGGAAAGCTGCTAGCTAAGCTACAGACAAATTGTCTAAGGCCAGTGAACCCTTAAGAACATTTGGACATCTTTTTAGGAGAGAATCAAGATATTTTGATTTGTCCATGCTCTGTGAGACCAGCACAGACTGCATGATGCTATCCTAAGTGCATGACCCTTTCCTAAATCCTACGTGTCATTTCAAAACTGCATGTCAGGGTATAAATGAAGAATGATTTCTAATGTGGACAACTGTGGTGGTCCTCTGTGCTATCTAAGCCCATGTGATGGCTGAGGATTCCCTGTCACCCAAGTGTGTTTTGTTCTTGGTTTCTATGACTGTGTTCAACTGGATAGTCTACTGTCTCTGTGCTTTTGGACAAGGAGAGAGGAGCACCTTCCAGAGGGGTCCCAGTTGTGGTAAATGCTTATCTTGGGTGAAATGCCTTGCAGCTGCCTGCCTTTTTCTTGTTTTGAGCTTAGGGTCTGGACCACTTAAAGCAGGAGCCTTCTTTTTAGATAGCCAAAGCTAGCAAATCCCATCCTGTATTCCCATCGAATTAATCAATCTATGACTCTTGCCTCCAAGTTTAGATCTGCTTTCTAAAGTTCTTCAGCTTTGGCACTGGTGGTTTCCTGTGCTATACTCCATGACAAGTTATAAAGCATTCAACACATACAAAATTATGAAACCATACGGGACAGTTTACTCTCAGCTGTGTCAGTGTTGCAGGACAGGAAGCAGAAGTGATTCTAACTGTTCTTGGACTGTGAATCTGCTGGGAGAGATTTATTTTTTTGTCTGTATAATATCCACATTTTAAGCATAAGGATATTTTTCAGCTCCAGTGCCTTGGATGGAGATGAATTCATTTCTGTGCACATATCAGTAAGCGGTAATATTCTACAAATGAACACACATAGGAGGGTTTTTCAGAAGCCTTTGCAGACGTCTTTCTTATATCTGCTTCTCTGATTTACTCCCTGCAGGTAAGATGTGTGACAGTTCTCTACATGACTGTGATTGGATTTCTTCAGTCCTTGGCACAATCCCACCAACCTCTGCTATCTCTCATGTTTCAGGCAAGTCTTTGCTGTTCCCTTTTCAGGCAGAGTCACCTCAGCACAATCATAGTGCAGCCTGTTTGGACTTCTCTCACTTTTTCTCCTGTTTCCCTCCTTAACAGGATAGAAGTCAAGATGTACACCGCAGCAGAGAATGGTTATTTCTAGTAACACTGGTTGTCTCTAAGTCTTGACAGCTTTGCCAACTTTCTCACCTTACATGCATGAAGAATCAGTTTCTCTCAGTGAGGATAATTTTTTTTTTTTTTTCTGATGTACACACTATTTTTTAAACCGCTATCTTCTCATAAGCTGTTCTTTACTGACTTTGGTCTCAGCAGCAGACGCGTTGCCAGAGGTCATGTTCTGATCTCCATCCCACTAATCTCTCCTTGTTTTTCTGTTGTCCTGGGGGAGTGGGGAAGGGAAGAAAGTACAGCAAAACAAATGTCACTACAGTTGCAAAAACTGTTTCTGGCCTTGCAGCTTATATGAGTATTGTTGTGTTCCTGTCAAAACTGAGCATTGTACCATGTGTCCTCAGGACAATTTCTGATGGCCCTCTGACCTCATGGTGGCATTACAGTGGTCTCTCTGGTTCTGTTTTCAGAAGTAAAAACCAATCAAACATCAACTTTCATTTTAAGATTCCACTAAAACCAGGTTTTGTTTTTCTGGTTTCCAGTCATATGTTGCAATGATTGAGAGTCAGATGTTTGCAGGGCTCTTGATGTGAACAACATGGATTTAAATAGCAAGGATTTTATTCATGTTCCATCTGGGGTCTGCAGCTCACAGTCAAGGAGCTGTATGGAAGCTGTTCACACATCACCAGAAGCCGCTCGTGTCAAGGGGAGCCACCTTTCCCTTGCTGTTTCCCTGAAGGAGAGCAGGAGGTGCCAGGCAGATGTGTCTGTGGCTAAGGGTCATGGCTTAGTGGCTGTGCTGCTCCTCACCTTGGTGCCTTAGTGTCACCATCTCCCCAGCACCCAGCAGCTGGACTGCCCTGGGGCTTGGGAGAGGGGACACACGGGGGCAGGTATTCATGTCAAGGCAGTAAGGGAGAGATGTTGCCGGCTGATGAGTTCTATTCCCATCCTTTTTTTGGACTGACTCTCCAGGGACACCCCCAAGTGAGTCCTCCTAGGCTTTAAGCTTGGTTACGTCCCACATCTGCTTCCTTGTGCTGCCTAAGGATGCTGGTGAAAGATGAGAAGAGAAAGTAGAGTTCAGTCCGAGAGAAACCAGCTGGATGGTTCCTCACACCACCTGCAGGAAGGCTGTGGGACTGGCATGGGAGCCTGGTGATGCTCGGAGTTTACAGTGATGTGCAAAACCTTGGCTGCTAGTTAGGACGTCCCTAAATGACAGTTTTTTTCTGGAGGATAGGAAGGATTACTACCAAAATAGTGTCACGTGCTTTTCCTGTCCTGACAGTCTTAGAAGCCTGCTTTTTAGGAGCCACTGAAGACAAGACAGACAGGCTTTTGGCTTGATTGATGGATTGTCCTTTCTCTTATGCTTTCTTAGAGTTTGTCTTTAGCCAGAGCACAAATTTTGGTGGAGCATTATGAATCTGCTGAACATTTGCTGGATTCACAAGGGTGCCTCTTGAAAATGGTACTACTACCAAGCAGCTAGGAGGGCTCATTGCTCCAGGATTACAGCATGTTCTGTTCAACTCTTAGTGGTATGTACAGGGGAGGTAAATAAAAGCACTGAAAGGAGCCCATAACATTTGGAAATGTGGGGATTGGTGTGATGCATCAAAGTACAATGAGAAGCTTTTCTTACAGTGTTCCTAAGCACACTGAAATCAGCAATACTGTAAAGTGTGTGAGAGCCTGATTCTGTGAGATTAACAGGCCAATTTTCTGTCCAAATAGGTTCAGATAAATTCATGTGACTACCGAGTAATTATACAGTGCTTATCTGACTGAACTTCCAGTCCTAAAGATTCAGCATGTCTGGAAGGTTTGCTCGGCTATGGAAACCTTTAGTGAGACATTTCAACTGCAAGAGCACAGCCAACATCAGCTGATAACATCTGCCATTTCCAGGTCCCTAGTATCTCACAAATCTTTTCCTCCTGGGGCTCCAATTTTTAACACTTTCCTTGTACTAGCTAGTCTTGATCTTCTATTTAAAACAAGGACTATTAGTGGGCTATTAGGGAATGGTACTTTAGGATCACTGATGCCGCAACTGTACTTTGTTTCAGTGCGAAAATGACATTTTGTATATTTATAGTATTTTTTTTTTTAAAAAAAAAAAAGCTCTAATTTGTTGCCTACCACAAAAAGCACACTACAAAAAATATTCTGTCCAAACTTAATCACACTAATTTTAGTTTTAATTAAAGCAAATATCATGGCTTCAATGCAATCATACATACATGTATTTCCAATAACAAATTACTTGATTTTTCTTTCACATTTATGCTGTTTCTAGAACAAGCTTTTAAAATGTTGATATGTTCTCATGAAGTTTTCATGTTTATAGTGTAGCCTGATGTTTGGAGTCTAAATGGCTGTGTATTGAATCTTTAAATACCATGGCACTAAAACATAGATAAAATTTGGCTGTGGTGCTAGGGGTAGCACATCTGCAAGCCCAGACGTAGTGTTGGTGGCCACTTTAGCCTTGTAGCCCTGTGCCCCTACTAAATTTACTCCCTGATAAGGGGAAATGGTATCATGCCAGGTTCATTCAAAAAGGGTGAGAATGCTGCACAGAGAAACGTGGCTGCATTGCTGAGTGTGGCAGTGGGAATATCTGGCAAAGATAAGATATGAGTATCTAAGAGCTGCCATTCCTGAGCTATGCCTGTGTCTTTCAGCTTTACCTCCTGGGCTGTGTTTTTCAACCCTGTTCAGTTCTTCCCAACTTTCTTTATCAGCTCTTCTGAGTCTCACCCCTTTCCAACTACTCTCACCGCTTTCTTATTCACCTTTGTGGCCCGTCCAAAAGCTGCTTGTGGTAAAAGCAGCTCTGCTGTTTGTCAGAATACAAATGCCTGCCTGCTTCGTGTGAGGGCAACAACCCTGGGCAAGCATCCTTGTGGAGTAATCATCAATGGGTGCCAGCAAAGGTGCAGGAAACCTTGATTTTGGAAACTATTTATAGGACACCCATTAATATCTGTGAGACCCAGGGATGCTCAGTTTCATTGAACAATCAAACCATGCAGGAGCCTATGTATGCCTGTAACTTTAGCTGTAGGGGCTGTTTCATCAATTAAAAAATTCCCGTGTTTGCTGCATTGGGATTACGGCAACTAATATACTAAGGATACAAAGCACGCTTTATCCACCTTTTTAATGCTTAATAATGTTTTATGGTAGTAACCGAATGAGCCAGTATGGACTTGTGGTTTTCAATGCAGAAGAAAAGAGATTTTTTTCCTAACGGAGCCAAATGAAAATTTAAATACCCAAGTAAGCTCCGAAGTGTCTGCTTAATCTTAAAAGATGAAACGGGACATAAGTGCACACCTGAAACTGAGCAGTGCCTCGATACTGTTGCAGAAATTGGCACCGTAGAAGGCAGTGTTTCTTTCCAGACCATAGCCTTTGAGAGGATGCTGAGAGCTGTTTAAAGCAGCAGCAGAAGTTAACACTGGAATCATTTCCTTCTAAACCATTTGGATTGCAATTTTGGATTCAGTGTTTTGGGTTTCCTAAACTGAATGCTGGAACTACACAAGAAGTGTTACTCTGAAGTTGTTTAGACAAGAGTGGTGAGGTTTGGAGCCTCATAAACCTTTATGCCACCCAACACCAGGGTACAAGGCCAGACTCAGCACAAGCTGGGAGGCAGTACTTCATCCAGAGGTCAGACAAAAACAGTGAGCTGGCTGGGGTCCTGTTGCCCCTGGGAAAGAAACCTCTCCGTGGGTGGGAGGTGGCAGAGGCAGAATCAGGCTGGAGATTTTGAGTGCTGCAGTGGTGGCACACCTCCCCACTGTTTTGGTGCCCAGTGCTGCCCCTACATGTTCCCTACACCCCATAAAGGCAGATCAATGCCAGATTTAGATTGGGCAGCTTGTTGGATTCAGGGCAGCAAAAGGAAAGTGAGGGAGTGCAACTGCATTACTACTAACATCAGATGTTTCCAGATGCGCTGAAATTAGGAGCTAGACTCACTGGCTGTGCCATGGAAATGCGTCCTTCACACGCATTAAAATTCTTCAGTCAGCATGTGGTAAAGGACAGCCCGCAATCTTGCTGTAAGGTTTGCGGCCAGTGCACGGTTGAGTCATGAAGAGTTTAAAATACCTCAACACTACGGGCTCTGGGATTTTCTTCACTTCCATGGCTTGAGATGGACGTAGTCCAGTGAGCTTTCCTGCACGCTGCAAGAGCCATTTATATGATAGGCCTTCTTGGGGCAATGTTGAAATTAAGTTTTGGGAGTGATGAAAATGATTTCTGGCTTTGCTCTTGCCTGAATATAATTTTTCAGAATATGCTGTATTATTGTTATTAAAGCAATAACTGCATATGTTAATAAGTATAGCAATTAATATCTACATTTGTAGTAGTATGTATGATACGATGTTAGAATATGTCTTAGTATCCTGTCAGTATGTCTAATGTTCTTACTTATGCGGTTATTTTACCTTCACATTACAGTAAAAATAAGATCTGTTCAGAGTCATGATTTGTCATTCCAACTGGAATTAGTCATTGGTCACCAAGATGCTAATCAAATTACCCGTTTCTAAAGAATTGATTTAATTTTACTAATATGTATGAATAGTTTCCAACTCCACTGAACTCTTTAGCAAATTCGGAAACTTTGTTTGGCTTGGATTGGTCTTATCTGACTTCAGGCACCCAGTTAGCTGGGTGTCTCACCCAGCCCCATCACCCAGGCTGCAGCCGGTGGAGAAGTGCACGTCGCTGGGAGATGCCTCTGCTGTATGAGGCCTCAGCTCACCGTGAGGGTACCCATCTCTCTGCAAGGATTCAGGGTCTGGATGAGGTCAGGCAGACATCCAGACCAAGCACCTTGGCC